GCCCGCCCGGCCCCGGCTCCCCCGCACCGCGGGCCGGGCACCGAGCAGCGCCTGCTCTGCTGGGAAATGAGCCTGAACACAGCCACAGCAGCTCTCTGCCGAGAGCACTGAAGCAGGGGGCTGTATTACTTTTTGGGTGGCAAATGCCAAATTATTTCCTATGTATTTATCATGCCAACAAGATTCAAAATTGAACAGTTTCAGTCTTCCCTAGCAAGGGTATGCAACAGCACCCTTTTTGTTTTCCATGGATTATTTAAAAATAATCTGCTGAACAACATTACCTTCCTTCTTGAGATGGAGAATTCCTTTTTACATTGCTTGCAGTGGGTTGCTTCATCATCCTTCAGCCATGTATGACCCTGGAAAATTTTATTGAAAACCACACTGGAGATACAAATAAACTTATAGGCATTCTACCAATGTTGTTGGTATTTTTCAAAATCCACCTTTTAACCAGGGTGAAATCTGAAGGTGTTAAATTCATATGCTTAGTCAAAATATCCATGAGAGAGTACCTTTAGTGCTTTATTTACTTCTTTAATGTCTTCCATCTTCAGCTTCGATCTGGAAAAAATAATATGCCCTGCATGACTTTTTGTTTTGTTGTGTTTGGTTTTCCCTGCCATTCCACTGTCAAGCCACTGAACCCCAACCCCCAAGGAGCTCCCTGTTACCCCTCTGAACCACTCACTGGGAAACTTTGTCAACTCAGAGTTTGCCCCTTTTAACCACTCACTGGGAAACTTTGTCAACTCAGAGTTTGCCCCTTTTTCAGTATAAACAGAAAAACATAGGAAAAGCAGTTTCAGTGTAAGAACTAAACATTTCCTTTAATGTTTCCTCTCAGCCGGCTCACTCTGACAAGATCCTCCCTCACTTTAATTTCATGGCTCTTTAGTTTCTCATAGCAGTTACCTCCTAAAATTCTCACATCAATTGATTTTTTTAAGTGAATGAGGTTTAAAATTCTTGGTATTAGTCTGATACTCCAGCTTATGCCATTTAGAGGAGTTCTGTTCCATAGAACTTACTGGCTGAGATGAAGACCCATTTCTTGAAGAGCCTGCTCCTGCTCCTCACGGACCTTCTTCAGCTGCTGCTTCTCATCTTGCAGTTTTCTCAGTTCCTACAAAGTCAAGCACAAAATCAAGTTTTTTGTGCACTGTTTGACCTATAACCTTCATCAGTCTACTCAAGCAATTCACAAGAATCAGCTCCTTTGCAAATCCCCCTGTTTCTAAGGTTTCATTTTTAAAATTACATGGGTGAGCTACCCACAGGTTCTGCACAAACAATGGAATCATTTAACCATATTTACCAAGAAAAAGAACATTTTCAGGCTTTGAATATCCTTCAGCATAGCTAGAACATGGCAGTCCTGTGCCAACACAGGAGCACACAGACAGATACAGGTGTACAATTGTGTCCTCAGAAACTGCTCCATACATGGCAGCAAATCCTCTTCAGGTTAACAAGAATGTTCATGCTTAAAAAATAAATCACATTCAGTTGTTCTGAATGCTTGAAACTGTGCATACCTTTTTCAGTCCTTCCATCTGTTGCAATTCTGTTTTAAGCAGAGTGGTTGCATCCTTCTCTTGGTGCAGTTCTTTTTGCAAAGTTTGTCTCTGTTCCTTTTCAGATTTTAATTCCTTTTCCAGAGTTGAGCTATTTAAAAATAATTCATTCTAAAAAAAACCCTATAGCAGAAGAATATCCTATAGCACTTAAGGATAGCAACAGTGTGAGAAGTAGAAGTCTTGTCCAAAAGAGGGCAAAACTAGAATGGTATTCTGGGAAAGGAAAGAACAAGCAGCAGACATCAAAAATGTTAACGCTGTTTAACATATGTTAACATTTTCAGGTCACAGAAAACAAATAGCAATGAAGGGCTAGAAGAAAAACAACCAACCAACCAAAAGACCCCCAAAGAAACCAGCCCCCATGAATAAATATTTCACTACCTATGTTTAAACTGTCATGTTTAAAAGGCACACTCTACCCTGAAGTCTGAACAGTGAAAGAAGCTTTTTTATATGGGTATTAGAAACCTTTAGAGGATTAACATTCCCTAAGAACAAACCCACAAGTCCCTTCAAAAATCCCAATTCCTTTGGATGACAGTCAGTTCCATGCTCAGCCTACAAGCGTGACCATACGTATCTCCTGGTTTATTAAAAAAAACAATTTAAAGTCCCATTGCTAGTTGGAATGGGAAGATTTTTGCTGCCACTCTAAATTAGACATTCTGGAAAAAACATGTCAAAAGCCTCATGCTAACTTTGCACTGTACAGAATGCTGTGCTTCCCTGGGTCCTGCATGTCTGGCAATGCTGAAGCCAACAGAATTTCAAACTCACCCCCTCCTTAGACCTGAGCATAAAAGGAGTAGAAAACACTTCATAAAGAAATGGAAAAGGGAAGAAAAACACCTGCTCAGATTAAATACCATTTGCTGTCCAGCTGGGCCATCTGCTGCCGACACGAGTCGAGCCTCCCAGCCAGCTCCTGCTTCATCTTATTGCACCGCTCCTCTGCCGCCTGCCTGGCCTTCTCTGCCTGCTGCAGCCTACACGGGAAGGAACACAGACATTGGTTTTCAGTTCACTCCTTCCCTGCACCCTCTCACCCTCTTCTTTTAGAGTTACCACAGGGATCATTATAAAATCTTGAACTGAAAATACTAGTGGAGGGAAAAAAAAGACTTTCAAAAGCAGTTGTTTTTGGAAAAAAAACAAAAGCAAAGCCACACTGGTTCTTAAAGTGAAGTTAACATGTTTTCCAACAGCCTGCTTATGGAAA